AATCTAGTTTTTGGTTCATTGAGTATTACGGCTTGGTGGCGCTAGCCACCGCCCGATCTAAAGGGTACAGCCATATCCATCCATCCATCCATCCAACCGTGGTCACCGCTATCACCATCATCATGGTTGTTGAAGCGGTAGTGCCTGCAGTGACCCCTGGCAGCAGGTATGCATTGGTGGCAGCGCGCAAGAAATATGCTGCTCTTTTCTGCGTGTGCCGGTTGCCGCGAACGGTTGTCTCTAGCATGGGTCCCGGGTGCGTGGCACCGCAGGTTGCGCGTTGGGGGCCCTTGTGGTAAGTCAAGCATTGGCCACGCCACCTTGGGTGTGTTATTGTGTTTGTCATGTTTTGGAGTGTATGGTAATATTGTGTAAGGATGTCCTAGCGTGTCAATCACGATTGGTGTTATAATAATTCGGCGAATGATGTCGTTGTTCTAAGGCAGTGAAATAAATGTATGTTGTTGTTTAGTTTGTATCGACCGCGTCTGCTGTGCCCGTTCACTCCTAGAACGTGGCTCTCGCCATTTCGAGACCCCACAAGTGTCTGCACAACATTGCACAATAGTGTAGAGATGATGAACTAATTTGTAATGGACAATGAATCATGGGAACAGTGAATGTGTATTTGTGAAGTGTTGATGCAATGCATTGGTTAATTGTGTGATGCTGTGGTGATGTGACAAGTAAAAGCGTGCAACGATGGAAGGTGACATGCCAGCTTGTGCACAAGTGATGACAACTGATGTCCACAACAAGAGAACAGCAGATTGCAACCGGGAAAAGGACCAAAGCAGTTTTTTAAGAAAAAAACTCCTAAAATGGGGAGCCAATGTCACGAGTAAAAAGGCACAAGGCAAGCGCCAGGCATAGAGATGCGGCGTCCAGGCACAAGACCCACGATGGCACACTTACGCGCCCCGTTCACGTACGAGATTGGTCGAAGAAACGATCGAGCCGTAATGAAAAATCTCGAAGGATGAGCTGTCACTGGGCGTTCGCGCTTCGAAGTGCGAAAATCAGGAAGGTTAGCATCGCTGCCGCAATGGAAGCAATAGAACCGCCTGGTTCTGAGGCTGTTGGCTAAGAGGCTCAGGGAGTGGCCGTGATCTCAGAAAAATTGAGTGAGGCTGCATGCACTTGCCGGATTCTGTCACAGCAGGCCCTTGGTGCACTACAGCTCCTCCACTTCGAGCCAGAATGTATGCGGCCTACACCCCAGTCAAGACGGCAGTGACCAGTTAGGCATAGCTGGTCAACGTATCCTAACTGAGCTGGGGCATCTGACGAAAACCAGAACTGGCCGGCAATGAGGTCAAGTGGCTCGTTCAGTGAAAGAGGAAGATGACAATAAGTACTTGAGAAAGACGTCAACTAGAATTGGCTTCAATGCAGATTGTCGTTTGTTCTGTTTTCAGTTCGATGTAGACTGATGTGTGCATAAAGTATTAATTTATTTCTTGGCACTTCAACACGAGTTTTGTGTATTTGCTTCATCTGTCCTTGTATAAAGTGTGTTTGTTTTGCCATGCTCATCATCCGTCTATATCAATCGAGTCCCTTACAAGTGCTACCGAGGTAGATGGTGACAGACGATGTCCTGGTGCACGTACATGCTTTAGGGACAAGTGTTGTCTCTTTTTGTAGACCTTGTTTAGCTGATCTTTTTTTAGTTTGTTTAGATGCGAAGCTGCTCTTTGACTAGCCTGTGTGGGGCTGTCTGTCCGTGTCTACATGCCGTACTGCGTTCCCCCCGCTGCAGTTGTTGGAACGATGCCAACTAGATCAAGTTGCACTGCACGTTGACGTCACTCTCTCCCTCAGCCGTAGCAGCTGCCGGATCGCCCTAACATACCTAGATGGTGTTGCTCCTCTGCCCGCTTGCAACACACTTCTCTCGCTTCACCCTCTCCACTACCCCCAACACTCGACTGCAAGTCGAGTGGAAAAGCTTTTTCGGCTCTTTAATCTGCGATGAAACTTACATGAAACCCAACCCGCCTCCCGTGTCTTTGCGTATCGAAGAAACATTAACTCGAGTAAAAGTTACACCAAGGTTTGCTTCAAACCGTTCTTCCAGCACCAACATTGATGCCTGTTTCATCCGGGTCAACAGCGTGAGCACTACTTCTGCGTCGCATCCCATCATTGTTCCCATAAGAGAGATGGTCCATATTTTCTTTTTCAGGTTGCAGTTTGAATTAAAATGGTGGGTGGGGGGGGGGAAATTTGAGGGTGCTATCACCTCCAGTAAAGTTGTTTGCACCTCGTGGCACACACGTCTTGCGGATAGGCCCATTTAAGAGTTAACAACCATCGATTCCTAGGTGGAACAGTGCTCAGGAGAGCTCATCATTATTTATGGTTAGCGCAGTAACGCCAGCAGTGAATGAAGCCTGGCGGCGAGGCTGGGTGCACTACAGCTCCATGAGACATGAGCATCTATCTTTCGCGCTTGGCGACTAACGCAAAAAGTTGTCTCCCGCGAGGACCACGGGTCGTCTCCAGTGGGTGTCTCGTGGTGAGTCAGCTACGCCCCCTCACGTTGCTTCCCGTTGTTGTTATGTTGATTGAGTGCATTGGAATATTGTTTAAGGTTGCATTTAGCATGTCACTATACTCGAAACAACTTTCTGTGGCAAGGAAGGGAAAGCTGCAGGAGCGGAGCTACTGCACATGTAATCCTCTGCGAATTAGTCTGGCTCGACTCGCTTTTCGAATGATGGCCTCGTTCGAATAATACCATAGCATATAAGTTATATCGTCTGCTTATACAGCCATTTTTTAGTGTAATTTCACAGTGGCTCCTTCAGCGAGTCGTTGGAATAGCTAAAAAACGATGCGTGCTCGCCTAAAGGCAAAGATGCCATTTGAAATATGAGGTGACCTAAAACATGCGACGTTTTCAGACAAGCAAAAGGAAAAATACATTTCATAAACAAAACAAATACAATAAAATGCTCCTTCTTTCATTCAGCATCTCTTTATTAACAGCATCCTGTAGAAAATAAACTAATATCTAGTCTTTTATGATTTTTACACGGAAATCATAGAGACATTTGTGCGACTATATTCTCCGTAGCCTTCCCTTCATTGCCACAGAAAGTTGTCTTCGAGTATAGTGACGTATTCCAATCAGCTCATGATATCGTCAATGTAAGAGTAGTTTAATAAATTTTTTTTGTTAACTTTGACCTCATCTGCTGCATCCATTCGCTCGGAGAGTGGGCTCTCATTTCAAGACCACATAAGTTGTACTGTGAAATTACAAAGCACGTTGTTTACTGTGGCACGTGAAGATGTGTGCGTGGAGATACTTCTCTGTGAACGACTGCCAGAGTGGGTACGAAATGAGCTAGGTGTGAGGCGTCACCCTGGCACCCCGCAGCAGGTCGCCCTTTCTTTTTTATGCAGTGGCCGTGTCAATGGTTTTCGTCTTTTTTCCCACTTGGCCAGTGTGGTCAGAGCAATGGCTCATTTGCATTATCAACATGATCAGCCAGGCGTGAGATGGGTATACGATATAACGAGCATCGAATACTGCACGAGTAAAATACGAAAACAATGCCCCGATACCACACCTGCATATCGGCATTGTCGGGTACATTGTTTATAGCAGATAGCTGCTAGTCTTAGCATGTTAGTGCAGCTGTGCAGTTCACGTGAGCGCCTGTGCCTCTGTTAGGTTCCTTCAACAAAGCTGTTTTTTCAGTGTGCTTTTCAACATGCCTGTCGGGCGAAGCAAAGCGGCGCCTGCGGCTTGGATAAACCAAAACGAGCTGCTGGCGAATGCCAGTGCTCAGCACCTACATCGACTGGCTACGGCGGTGTTTTCCGGGAAGCGCACCTTCAAGAACGCGCAGTGATGAAGGCCGGAACATCTCTGTCAGCGGACTGTACGATCGGGTAGTGGGTGCAGGCCATTGGGAGGGTCTCTGACAGCTACGGCAGCAAGCGTCTACACAACGAGCTCGGGGCTCCAATTTACGACTTCAAGTGCTCGCCACGGACTGCGACTCTGCTGTGCTAAATGGCCCAACGACTATGGCGTTGCAGACCTCGACAGCTGCAGGCATTTCAAGCACTGTGCGCGAATCATGGGACGTGACCTTTGCTCGAGAACACCGTGCACGAACTTATGAAGACCTCGTGCAGTAGTGTTTATAACAGACGCGCGGGGAGGGTTTAAGGAGAGAGGAATTCCGGAGTGTGCCGAGTGCACATGGTGAATAAACCAACTGCATATTCCCAGTCAAAGTCTCATTCTCAGCAGCGACATACGAGACCCGACTTTCTCGGTTCGCACCGGCACACAAACAAACTTCACTATGGCCTTGATTGATTGATATGCAAGGTTTAACATCTCAAAACATGCATATAAATATGAGAGGAGCCGTAGTCTAGAGCTCTGCAGTTTTCGACCACCTGGGGTTCTTTATATTTCCTTCATATCTGAGCACACTGCCTACAGCATTTTTGCCTCTATCGAAAGTGCAGCTGCTGCAGCCGGGATTCGATCCTACTGGCGGGTCAGCAGCCACTGGACCACCGCGGCGGGGCCAACATGGAATCACTATGCACGAGTGAGAATCGCTTCATGACGCTGCTGAGAAAGAAAAGGAAGCAGCTGATACTTTAGAATTTTGGAATAAAGTTTCTAGCTCTGCTCAGCTATGCTTTTTAAATTTCACTACAATAAAACTTATGCTATAATGAAATTTTTTCGTGCACTCTCAATTTTGTTTTAGCGAGGCTTGACTGTATTCCTTTTGTTTTGGCTGAGGCCTCAAGTACAAGAAGGCTGACATTCTAGCGAAGCCGCCCCCTCTACTTGGCTAGTTTGAACTTGCTCAAGAAGGGTCTTGCCTGAAAATTTTACTGTGTAGACTGTTAACTATGCTAATAGTCACTAATTTTGCACACCAAAAGACGGTGCTACAAGATGAATGACTGAGTAGACCCACTGGATTTTATAGAATGCAAAATCCAGTGCTACATACCATTCAAAATTTCGCACAAATGTCTTCAAGGAGTGCACTGTGAGGAGGCAGAGAAGGCCGAACCACAGGAAATTCTTGGTCAGCCGCCTGCACAGAGGAAAAATAAGGTGCGACAATATTCAGCTGCAGCAATCAAGTGGATACACCAGAACACCATGCACGTTTAATCCATTCACAAGAACTGGGATGACGTGCTAGCTTTTATCACGTATGCGTACAATACAGCGAAACATGAAACAACGAACTTTAGCCCATTATATTTGTTATACGCCAGATTGCCACTAAGCCCTCTGGACACTTTTTGCACTTCATTCTCCACAATGACGATTCTGTATCGAACACCTCGTGCCTCGCGGAAGAAGCCCGTCGAATCGCTCATCTTCGGACTCTGGCCTCTCAACGTCGTTCGAAGGAAGGCTACGACGACCGTCACGAACCAGTATCATTCGAAAAACATAACTTGGTGTTGCTTTTGACACTGCAATGCAAGCGTGGATTATGTCGAAAGCTTCTGCCCCGATATTGAGGCCTATTTGTAGTTTTGGAGCGTCTAAGCCAGCTCACCTACGTAATGACTTGTCCTCAGTCCCATGGTCGACAATCGAGCAGAACGCAGCTCACTCACATTGCTCGCCTGACACCTTTCTACCCTTCATGGGCATCATAACTCGTCCTATGGGTTTTGTCTGCTTGCGGGGAAATGTAACGAACATGTGAAAGGCAGAGAAGAGAAAGGGAGGAAGACGAAAAGGCTTGGCAAGGTCGCAGTGCGCTACCGCGAATGACCATCGCTTACCTCTTGTAAATAAAACCTTTTCATCACAACTCACTTTAACAATATGTTTGTCACGTAGCAAAGTGGTTGTACTGCAATCATTCTAAATAAAAGTCAACTTTCCTTCAGTATTTTCAAGCTGCCTCGACACCATCTTTCCAAAACTCCTGTGCCAGAACGACTGGACACGACACCTCAACTTCTAGAACCGCTGATATATCTCCACAGAGTTTATTACCATTTCGTAATTTGTCATAATGAGAGTTATTTTTTTATTTGGCAGTTTTATCAATTATTCACTGACTCACATGACGATGATCTGTGGTAAAACACTATATACAATTCAGATTATCTTTCTGAATAGCTCGTACAACAAGCTGAAAGGAGGTTGATCGGTCTTTGTGGATGAATGGTGCAACAGATCACGTAGTGCTTTTATGAAGTCATTTCGTATAAGTGCATGATCAGATGTTAGTGGAAGAAAATGAAGTGTGTGAGGATGGTTGTTACGTATTCACATGACGATAAACGTGATGATCTTTAGCGAACTATGCTTTATAAAAAACCAACTAAAAGCACGAAAACAGCGAAGTAACCAAACAGGACTAGTGCTGCACTAACAACTAAATATTTATTAAAAAAAGCCCCCACATGCATGAACCATCAGTACATACACAAATAGGCTATGTAAGCCTAGTAACATTGCACATTCAATAGTACAAAGTCATGAATTAAGCATGTCAAGGTGTTGCAAACAGCGCATTTCCACAAAACAGCAAAATATCAATGTCACGTGCATCCGTTGGATAGAAACTGAGCATTCACACCACATATGTCATTTTAGCTTTTTTATTATTTCAAAAGGATTCGCAACTTTCATGTTTAATCTTATATCTCACTTCCATTTTTATGGCACCCTGATTTGAAATCAGGGGTGCTGCTACAGCCTTTGCAGCGCATACATAAGTGAGTTTTGAAATTTCCTTGTCACGTTGCTGTGTCCACAAAGATCAGCAGGGCCGATCAGCTTCAATGACAGGTTGCATGAACACCGCATTCTACTCCCTGCAGGTATACTGGTGAAAACTCACCTCTGCACTTCAATGGCACTGTGTCCCTGATTTCAAATCAATAAGTGCCATTGGCAAATGAATAAAAAATAAGCTTGAAAGCAAAGTAGTTAAAATCTTCAAAATAAACAAAACACGGCAAAGGGTCATGTATACATCATCCATCAGTTTTCCTTACAAATAAAGAATTCATGTGGCTACATAGTTATTTCATGATGGCGTCGATACTTCAAGTGTTTCATGAAAATGTGCTGTTTGTAACACCTCCACACTTATGCACTGTTAGTTGTGCAACTGTGAAATCACTCAAATAGCTTATTCATGCTCATATTGCTGGGCTGTGTGTGGGTGGGCTTTCTGCAATAAACATTGTGTTTGAACTCCAGCGCTTGTTCTGTGCGGTTGTTCTCCTTTGTTGTCTTCGTGTCTTTCGTTGGATTCCTCTTCCGACTATTGTGAAGCAACCCGCATAGCCATCTGCGTTAGTGACGTCTTGTTTCAAACACTGTTGTGACAAATCGGTATCTAGATCTAGTTGGTCGAATTTAGACAGTGACAGAAAATGGACGAAGTAACGCGCAGATTACTCGGTTTGATTTTCTGGCGAGTGCATGACAAAGCGGAGGAAATGAGACACCGGCTATTACACTCCCACACTTTAGTGTTTTGTCCGCATGCATTGATGTTCTGTGCAGTACTCCACACGAAGTGTATGGTGATCCTGATCTCGCCATATTGTCAAGCTTGCTGAACCTGCCAATGGCATCGTTTATTTGATAGAGCATGTTTTATCTGTTGTGTTAATCACTTTTTTTCTTGATTAAAAGCTATGTTCCAATTCCTTAACTGACTTTTTCTAAATATGTATGTCACAAGCAGCTGGCATATCTTGCTTGTTTAGACTGCTAAGCAATAGTATAAACAATTGTTTCCATACGCACTGAAGTGCTTATAGATTAACTAGCGCTGATCTTCTCCTTTGAACTGTAACTGTTCCTTCCCTAGCTTTCACAGTCGTATTGATTGGTATTCCGATACCTACTTTCCACGCCTTCTATTCATACTTATTCTGTGAAAGGGAGTATGTAGACTCGACTAACCGCCAGAATGTGTTGGTATATAGTCCACGCCAAACACCGTCGTTGGCACTGTCACTAACCTGTGTTCGCTTAACTACAGTGAGCCTGAAAGTAGCTTAAAATAACGTAAATTTTGACTACAGTACTACCTTTCTATGTTATTAGGAGCACTGAACAAGTTTTTCTGGTACAATTATTTAACTGTAGCTGGCAAGCGAATCGATTGCGATGCATCTTCTAGAGAGCAGAGTTAAGAAAGATTTGACGATTTACTGGTGACAGAATAAATTGCAAAAGAAAAGCAGGTTTACTAAAGAAATCGATCGGCTTCTATGGAGTCCTAGAGTTGTCGAATGTAAAAGTATAAGGTCTATTGGGTATGAACATTTGTTGCTAATAAGAATATATTTAGGAAACAAAAACACGGTAGGACAAGATTTATAGCAAGTTTTAAAGCGAGTCTCTCACGTGGCGGCAGAGTACTCTACCGCAAAGCTGCGTTGAAGCTTTGAACCTGAGTTGCAAACTGACCCTATGCAGGCTTTATATTGGGTAATGATTTGCATTAACATGCATAATAAATCATTTTAGAACACTAAATTAACAACTATGCGTCACGCAACCCGAATTGCAAAAAGAGTGGGTTGTTAAGCTATAACGCATCTCGAAAGCCTCAAGCATAATCCGTCATTGCGTTTTATTAAATGAGACTAATCGGAATAATTTCCTGTACTGTCAAGATCAATGAATGTTGCATTTCACCAGGGTAATGTGAATACTGAATGTTCCCGGTCGTATCAGGTCAAGAATTCCAAAAGATGTGCGAATTGTGAATTTCAGAAGACAAAAAAAGGTTGATAATGTTCGCTCTGCACTTTTCAGCACACGTTGAGCAAGAACATTGCTTTTTTTTACCACGTTATCTAGATACACTTTGTCGGCAATCAGGTATAAAAGTAGCCATAAAGCACTGGAAACAGCGCAAGATGGTGCAAGCCAAGTATGTCGATGCACAACATGGCAGCCATGTAGCCTGCAAAAACAGAGTGCGACTTCGCCGTATAGCTGTGGTTGCTAGCCAGGAAAAATGGCGGACTTATGCGCTACACTGCTCCCGTAGGGAGCATATACAGAGACTCTGCACTGCGTAAGATAAGGGTGTCATCTACAAGTAATTTAAGGAAAAGAAGTTTTTCTAAAATGCAAAGCCCCTGGTAGGTGGCACAACCATGTAGATTTAGTGAAGTGTAGGAAGCACCCGCTTTTTCGTTTAAAACGTCGCATTGTCAGTGCAGTGTAATAAGCACCGACCGCAGTCCTTAAAATTATGTATCTATGCAATTTTTTAAATGAAGGCACACACTACCTAACATTCCAGAATTAATGTTGCACCCAGATGTGCGTAATATTTAATTTTTGATTGAGTGTTCACAAGTATGAACGCAAGCAAGATGGCTGGTCCTTCGGCAAGGGGTCAAACTTTCGCTTCGGTGGCTGAATGTGTTGACAAGCAGACAAAAAGACAGAATGAAAGACAGACAGACACACAGACCAGAATTCCTGTGTTGAAGTATCACAACAAAGACTACCGTCTTTAACATTCCTCGTCACAATGGGCAAACTACCTCATCGCAATACCTCCAGCGTTACATCCAGAAGTTCTTGATGCTCTGCATGACAACCCAACAGCTGGATACCTCAGATTTTCCCATACACTAGGGAGAACACAGGAACAGTACTGGTGCCCCCATCTCACTGCCGACGTCAGCCATTATGTAAAAACCTACTGAGATTGCCAACGAAGGAGGAAGGCACCGAACTTCTGCAGCCCATAAAGCCACCTCGCCGTCTTTCTAGAAAATCGGCGTGGACCTAGTGAAATTGTCCCCGGCATCAAATTCTGGAAAAAAATGGAGTGCCATAGCTACTAACTACCTCACCCGCTACAACGAGATGAAGGCGCTACCTAAAAGCAGTTTTGCCAAGGTAGCAAAGTTCTTCATCGAGAACATCGTCCTGCGTCGTGGTGCCCCAGAGGTCCTCATTATTGACAGAGCTACAACCTTCCCTGCGGACCTAACTGAGGTTATACTGAGGTACAGCCAGACAAGTCACCGCCAGACGACGGCCTTCCTACCACAGACCAATGGCCTCATCAAGCGT